GCCGGGCGTGGAGACCCCCCCCGCGCCCGCAGGCACTCACACATGTTGAGCTGGCGCACGAAGCTGGCCATGTTGTTGTGCTTGAAGTACTTGGGCAGCACTTCCTTGGCGAACTGGCCCTGGTCGAAGACGTGGAAGCTGTTCCCGCCCTGTGGGGACGCGGGCAGCGTCACGGGTGCCCCGCAAGGCCAGCCCGCGGCACTGCGCAGGCTCTTCCCGGGCGGCCTGCCCGTCCCTGGGGCCGAGAGGGCCGAGCCGGCCCGCGCCCCAGCACCACCAGGCTCTCGGGTGCCCGCTGCAGACACCGGGTGCCGGGGGACGGCCCGTCTGGGTGACCGCCAGGCGGCACCTCTGAGGGTCTGCTTGGAGTCCATGGCATCCAGGTGATCGCTGAGCTCGGTCCTGGCCGGAGCAGGCGGGTCAGGTGAGACGCGCCCGCACCCCCACTCGTCTCCTCCTGGCACCTGCCCCGCGGCCCCTGGCCGCCTCCGCCCCGCCCCTCTGCGTCCACCAGAGGCTGCGGAGAGCAGTGCAGGGACTCGCTCGGGCGAGGGTCAGCCCGGCCCCCGCGCTGCTGTGGGGTGCAGACCCGGCCCGGGGCCCTTGGCTGGGCGCGCCCCCAGAGAAGCCAGCACAGCTGGGGCCTGGCCCCCCGCAGGGGCGAGGGGCGGCCACTGGGTGGGCAAGGGCCAAGCCGGGACGGCTCAAGTCCGCAGCGGGGCCAGCGCTAACCCTGGCTGGCCTCGGCCACGCAGAGAGGAGGGGCAGGGCGAGAGGCGGGTGACCCCAGACAGCTGTGCAGGGCGAGCCAAACTGCAAGATGCAAAGACATGAGCCCCCCATTGCAGGTGGGGGCCAGGCAGGCTTCCTGCCCCCCGCCTTGCTTGCCCAGCCGAAGGGGCGGACCTCTGCTGGGCAGCAGGACAGATGCCGGCCATCTGTGGGTGGGCTGCGGTGGCCGCCGGGCGCCGTGGGCGGGCCGAGGGCGCCGCCCCCTCCCCAGCCTGGGTGGGCCGGCTCTGGCCCTGCTCCGCCCCAGCGGCCGCGGCGTCCACCCTTGCAAAGGCCCCGGGATGCTTCTGGAGGACAGATGCGTTCGTCCTGGACACTCACTTGTCCAGGCATGCAACGCTGAGGCACTTCTCAGGGGCCGAGGGGGGTCCGGGCGAGCGGGGGCGGCCCCCCGAATCCGGGAGGGGTGTGGCCAGGGCGGCGGGGGCAGCAGGCTCGCTCTCCCGCAGAATGGAGTCGATGAGGGCTGTCGGGGACAGGGGGGTCTCCACGACCGAGGGCGGGTGCCCGGGGCTGACCGCCTCCTCGGCGGGGCTCCGTGGCGGGCTGGGGGGCTCCTCCTTGACCCGCACCAGGGGCCTGCACAGGGGACGCACGTCAGCGGGC